TAAAATATATATATGAATAATTAAAATAATATAAACGTAATGACTAGTAGACTAGGAATCATTTCAGATTCAATTTATTATTTTTTGGGGCAAAGAAATGTCCACACCAAACATCCGAACTTGATTTCTGTCATCTTAGATAAAGGTGACAGGCTGGTCTTTGCTATTGCAGCATCACTTTGTGATTTAGGGTCATAAGAAGGCTGGATTTTTACAGAAAAAATCCTGCCTAGTGCAGGGTTTCTCCCCATAATGGCTTCAACCATGCTGCTTTGTTATAGCTGCTCCACTGAGGTTCAAGAACTGGCCTCCACAGGTTCAGGGCTTTCTTACCTTATCCCTCTCCTGGCAGCAGATCAATAGATTAGCTGGGCTAAATTGCTGTGTGAGAGGTGTATCTGTGAGGGATTTCTGACAGCCAAACCCTTAAAACCCACCCCATCTTCTCCAGCTGAAATCTGCCACCACCTGACTGTGTTAGGCTCGGATTTCCACTCCGCTTCTGTTTGCCAAACAATCCCCATCCATCCCATCTCCTTACCTTCATTATGCCCCCCTTTCTTCACCTATTTCCTTATTCTTTGTCCATCCCTATTCTTTTTTCCTACTCCCCCCCTGCCCTTCCATTTAATATTCTGTTTTGTCCTCCTTCAGTCCTCCCTTTCCACCCCCCACCTCCTTCCACTGTCGACCACCTCTCTGTTTCACCTCACAGCGAGCAGCTTGTGCCCTCAGCCTGTAAGTAAGCCTGTGGCATCCTGTCTATGTCTGCCTACTCTGATTATATTTTCCTGCAGTGCAAATCCAAGAGGCAGGCAACAAGAAATCCACAGTCAAAAAAGAAAAAAAATTCACACAGGTGATTCTTGCTGTCAGCTCGCTCGGCATTAGCAGGATTAGTCCGAAAGTACGCCATTTTCAATTACGCTCAATACCAGGATGGGAAAGAAATTTTTATACTCAAGGTATTGAAATGTCTCTTGCTTGCACATATTAACATGCAGGAGATTACATGTTCTTTATTGCCCATAGCAATCTGTTAGATAGGTTAGATGTGAAAAAGTCCACACACAGTGGTTAAAAGGAATCAAGACACTGCCCCTTCGTCCTCTTTGGATGAACTGGCCCTCTAGACAAAAATAAAACAATTATCAGATTCCTGGAATTAATACTAATACAACTGTTGTTGCCTCTTCTGCAGCCCATTTCTGATTATTATTACAATCAATTATTGCTTTTACACCAAATAAAATGCTGTTATTAAGTTAACATTGGGTGACTGGTCATCCCAAAGCTACATTAATGAGGCAGGTATGTCCGTGTTTGTTTGACAGACAGGCCAAAGTGTCCAGAGTAGATTAATACACCTCACTAATTTCTTTTTCAGTGCCTAAGTTAGGCAAGTTCTTTTGTAAAAGTGAACATTAGAATAGCAACCTTTTTCATAAAGTTGCATTGCTGACAGGTATACATACATCATTGCCTTGTTGTCTTATGTAACAAGTAATAACGCCGTAGCCTCATAGTAATATTTATCTTGAAAATCCTTGGTAACGCTAGCTCTAGGTGCAATAATTATTTTCTACATCTTTCCATGGTCTTTCTAGTGTGGGTTAGCTACAATATGTCATTTGACATTTACCTGGGAGCAAGTTGGCGGCTTTGCAAATTATATAATGTTGTACATTACGGTGACAATGCAGCCTTTAAAGAGGTGACAGAGGCGGAGGGAACAAGAGCTGAGGGAGGCAGCAAAGGGAAGTAGTTCTTATAAACTTTGTCTCCATTAAAGTGTTTGTCTCCTCTATATCTTTTGTTAAAGTTGAAGTTATATACAGCCATGAAACTGGGCATTGTAATTCTGTGTCTATATGTTAAATCAGTGTTTCATCCTCACACACTCAAACATGTGTATGCGTGTGCCTATTTTTGTGCTTAAGCAAACAATGGTATACAGACATTACATCCAGAGGAGACATGGGGACAGTACAGTGGGTGTGGGGATGTCCTTTTAAAAAAATGTCTGTTCCCATTTGCTGGAGATCCATGATTCTCATGTACTCTATTTCAGAGTGAAAATTTATCTGATTTATGCTCAGTTCTGATTCACTTATGTTCAGAGTCACCTGCGTACCCGTCCAGCAGCCAGACTGCTGTCAGGAGTTGTAGTTGGAGCAGGGTGCAGGAGCAGTAACAATGAATTGCCTAGTGATCTGGCCGCTCCGTAGCTGGCCAGATGGGCTCTTTTCTCTCTCAGTCACTTTCCATAAAGCAGGCAATCAGCCAGCTTCTTCGGATGTGGCCGGCACTGATGTAGCCTCGACGACGTGGATTAGTCTGAGCCCACTGTCAGGCTGTGGCGCTGTTACTCTGCAACCTTGGGGAAACACAAAGGTCTTGTGACTTCGATAAAGAGACATACTCTCTGTCTCTTGAACATCATTAGGGCATTAAGGGAAGGTCTTTGATGCAAACATATTTAATCCATGGAGTCTCTTACGTCGTCTTTTCTGTAATTAAATTGAAGGCTACATGCTATTCACAAACTGATTAACTTGTAATTCTCAGATTTACAAAACCCTTTCAGGCAGCACTGTATTCTTCCAGTATTGTTAACAGTCGGACAAAGAAAAGACTGTTTTCCTCTAAAGACCAGTGCCCACAGGGTTCACTGCCTGCTGCCCTTTCTCTGTTATCTACCCTCTGTTAATTGCTCATTAGGAGGGAAAATGTGGTTTTAATCGTGCAGACAGTTTCAAGTTCATTAGAGCTAATGTCCAAACTTCACAGAGGCACACAGTGGCTGATGGTGCCCGTCTAGACACAAACAGCAACACTTGGTCAATTATTAACACATCCCATAAGAGCCTTTAGTGAGTGTTGTTTTTTTGCATATGCATGAACATATATATGTTTGATCCTAACGTGACAGCATGATGAATGTGTGGGTTATAATTGGGCTTCTTCTGCCTTACTGCATATTTATGCAGCTGTACTCGAAGCCAAATTTCTCCTCAGAAGACAAATGTAATGTTTGCTTTGGAAACAGTACAGCACAAATATTGGCTAGTCAGGTGACCCATACTTTAACTTAGGCTTATACTCACTCACTTATTTTAACAATACTTAGAGTCTAACAACTTTATGAGGCTGTAATGTTAATTTAAAACCAAATAAAAAAAGATGTCCAAATAATGGCAAAGGCTTTGCTTACAATACAAATTGTTCACGTATATGCTTCGAGTCTTCAAAGATATACCCATCTTACCCACAGTCCTACGTTTTATTAGCCAATCATTCTTCTAGTTTTTATGTATTATTATTTAACATTTCATAGGTTTGATTTGTCTATTAATTCTTTTTGTATTTATTCATCATTTAATGTAATATTACAGTTTAGTGTGTTAGCATGTTAACATGCAAGCAAGTTAACATTAAACGCAAAGTTGAGGTTGTTAGGAATGTCATTAATTCATATAATTGAGATGTAGACATATTTCACTGAATGATGGCACTAGATGAAAAGTCAGTGGATGACCAATATCAGGATTAATCTTCTGAACACCATGACTGGTTGTACCACATTTAATGAAAATCTAACAGTTGTTGAGATATTTCACTCTGAACCAAAACTGTCAACCTCCTTGTGGTGCTGGAGAAAACCTCAGGGGATCACCAGAGTCAATAGGATTTATGCTCCGGGGACCATGATGATTTCATGACAAGACATCCAACCATTGTTGAGAATAATGACAGAAGTCATAATAGAGAGCTTCAGGAATGAGTCCTAAAACCATAAACAGAGTAAACTTCTTCGCACCTCCGGTTGCCTAGGGTTAGGGTTAGGGTTACATAAAGTAGGGCAGTAAATACCCCAGATGTGAATTTTAAGGCTTTTACTTAAAAAAGACTAATAAGTGGCTAAATAAGACATAATTAAATGTCTGAACACGGAGCCTTATTTAGTCACCGTCTTTACAGCCATGTTGTATTTACTCTTGCGCTCTTGCAAACTATTCCAACTCAAACTTTCTAACTTGTAGATTTTAATTACAAGTTGGAAGTTTAGTGGTGGTGATGTTCATATGACCATGCCATATTTATTTTATAGCCCAATGTAAGCATGTTACTTCTGGCGATCAAATTTACCCTTCAAAAATCATAAAAGTGATGTTTATTTGTGAAGATTTTTTGGCTGAACAAAACATGTTCAAAAATCATAATCATCATAAACCTTTGTTCGCCACAGAGCTTATTTTCTGCCAAATCCTACTGGCTTTTTGTGAAAGGCACCAGGGCAATGCTAACTTGCCGGGTTGGACTACAAAAATACGTGATAACTGCTGCACTGTTACTATGCAACCTGCTGCTATCGGGCTTTGTCATTTGAGTGTAAACATGTGTCGTTTTGGGGAAACAACTCGTTCTTTTTCTTCTTTTTTCCTTTGGAGGATGTTTATGTTTCATTTGGTCCTTAAAGTAATGCCTCATACACATACGCAGTTCTTTTTGTAATTACAGATATTAATAGCCAGGGAGAGGCCTGGCTAAAGGTGGTGACAGCATATCTGCAAGGCGTAAACCAGAGATTGATTACTCCTACACTGTTACATAGAGCTGGTGGAAAAGTGTGAATGAACCCAGGAAAAATTGATTATGTTATAATATGTTTTCATTATCCTTAAGTGTAACTGTACTCCTATTTTGCATTATTATTCATGGTTATTTATTCATTATAGATTAAATACCTAAAATCCATTAATTGCCCTATATTCCTTAGTCTAACGATGTTGTAATAGTTTTTATTAAGGGATTATTGATTTTGCTTCTAGTTGCACCCGATCTAATGAAAATGTAAGTGGGTCACATTGATTGTTTTGATATCGTCAGGTGCTGCAGGTGCCAACATGTAAGAAACATCAGGCTAATCACTAAAATTGCTTATTTTTTCCTTCTTCCTGCTTCCCCTTCGGCTTCTTGTTCTCCTCTTTCCATTCCAGTGGTCGTGTTGTACTTGCAGGGTGTGGGAACCAAAGAATGGAGGGAGGTACGTTAAGCAACCTTTTGTTCTCCAATATCAACATCCAATATTCGTGTCTGCCTGTCTGCCAGATATGTTTGCTTGTTTAGGAATGCCATAATGTGTATTAACTTCAATCCTTTCAGTCGGGGCTAAGAGAGAGGGGTTATTAAGAAGAAGTCCAGAGGCAGCTCACTGCAAATCCCTGAGAACACTGTTGTAGGAAATTGAAAGTGTCAACCTCTTCACTTGCCCACAAAAGCGTAACCACAATCTGAAATGGACTTCATTTACCTGACCCAAACTGATGAATTAATAGTACAGCTTAAAGAATACATTAATACAATTGATCTGATTATGTCAAGTATCTGATGTAAGATAAAAATCAATTCACTTCATGGCTCAGGGCTGGGAGAAAAAGAAGGGAAATTCCTTTAAGGTCTCATCAGATATGCACCGTCTGCTCTCCTTGACCTCTTACCCTCTGTCACTCTTTTTTAAGTCGGGGTCATGTGCCCTTCCATTCATTGCTGCTTTTTTTTAATTCTTCCCCTTTTGATTTTTATTTCCTGGCACACATCATTTCTCAGAAATGCATTCTGTTTTTAGGCTGTGTATTTCATTTGCAAATTCAAAGTCAACACCGATGTGTCAGTGAGGGCTTTGCCACTGCTGATCCCCTCACCTCAAGACTCCTCACACCTTTTTCTTCCACGTGACAGGGCTTAATCAAAAACACGGCATGAATTGCACCGCAATCAGCAGAGTAAACACCTCGCTGTCGGCCGTACACATATTGACACCATGAGCAGATAATTGTGCTTTAATGGAAACCTGACAGATCCTTTGTTTACTTTTGACATCATGTTTTGCATTATGTCAGTACTTGATATATAATTTGTAAACAGAATGATGTCACATAGTGCCTTAGCATTTTTTATTAGCAAGCACAAAACAATCTGTGCAAGCAGTATATGTTTTATCCTATCACTATATTGTGCATGTCTAACATGTCTCCAACTACTCCATATTCTGCCTTTCATTGTGGAGTGTTTTTTTTTGTGTGTGATTTGAGTAAGGTTATTATTATTTTGTCCATTTTTTATGCTTGTTTACTGCTCCTGTGGCATCAGGCTGTGCACTACATTAAACTGTTTTCTGATCACAAGTGGTTCCATTTTCCCAGCCCATGGATATGATCCTCCACTTACATGCTCCCACAAATCAGTTGCTGCCAATGGAGGACTACAGACAATCATGTGCCATCACATGCTGGAAAACTAAATTAAAGGCCTGGTCACAACAACATGAGCTGAATTTTGTGGTGAAATCAATGCATTGTGCATACATGTATTCAGCGTGATTCGTGCATTGGCTTGCATAATTCAACTTTGGTGAACTTTGAAACTCATATTGCGAGAACACAGTGCTGGAGAGCCCAAACTGCTCTGTCGCACCATCAATTTTTATTTAACCTACTTTGTCGGAGTATAAACTACTCCAACCTTTCTACACTGAATAAATCTTTCTTCTCAGTGGTTTACTGTAGTAAATCAAACGGGTTAGCGATAGTTTAAAGAAATACAGTGTGCCCGGATAGCTCACCTGGTAGAACTGGTGTCCAATGTACCAAGACTGAGTCCTTGTTGTAGTGTCTCAATTTCAATTTAAAAAAGGCAATAAAAGCCCCTCCCCCAAAATAATAGTAATAACAAATAATAAAATAATAAAATAAATACATGGTATTTGTAGTAGACCCATTTCCAGGTCCAACCTAGCCTAAGTTGAAGCCAATAGTTGTCTTGCCAACTGCTCTGCTTACTCTCCCCCAGTAACAAAGCAATTCCCTAACATTCACCCACAACGCCCCAACACCTATTAACCAATCACGCCTGAGTGAGCTTATAAACCAAAGGCCTCCAGCCCTAAGAATAGAAACACTACAAGTAAAATCTCATGGGATTTTCCCTTTGGGTCGATGCGGCAAGTACGTTCTGAGGTCCAATACATTCCCCTTCGAGGCTTTGGTAATGGATAGGCTGGGGACGCAGTTGATAGCACGGTTTATGTGCACTGGACACTAAAGACATGAGTAGAGGTATTGAGGCAACAGCGAGGCAGTGCCAAGATCAATAGCTCATTACACAGTGCTGTCGGGCCAGGCCGTGGAGGCGAGGCTGGCAGTCCACCAGGGGGATTACCGGTGTGATTGTCAGGGAGATGGAGAAAACGGCCTGGCCCAGGAGGGAGGCTGGGACCGAGACTCTGTGGGCTCGCAGGGTGGAGAACTGACTCTAATGTAGATTTAATGTAGCAGTCTAATTTCTCTTGGGACACCAGATTTAGCACACAGCACAGAGGAGCTCAGTGTGATAGAGTGTTGTCATATTTTTGCAAAGGAGATTTGTATTTATGGATTCCAATGGTAATATGGGTTGCTGCTGAATCTCATGAATTTTATTCTTTCTCTGGTGTATTTCTTCTTGATTATTATGTAATAACATACATTGACTCATGAATAAATGCCAATAATCACTTTCTTTCTATTTTTGTAGTTTGGTAGGACAGAGGTAATCGATAACACTCGGAATCCAGATTTTGTCAGGAAGTTTGTCCTGGATTTCTTCTTCGAAGAGAAACAAAATCTAAGGTTTGATGTGTAAGTAGTAATTTTCTTTTTCCTGAATAAATCTGAATTAATTTAAACTTGGATACATTCTGCTGTGTAAATACCTCAATGTGGATTCAGAGTAACCATAAGGTAGCATTGCCTTTGATTGCATTAGAATAATTTCTCTCTGTGCAGGTCCTCAGTTTGACAAAAAAGATAATTTTGCTCAATTTGGATAAATGAACCGGCCAATCACAGCTAAAATTAGATGCTATGATGTCCAATCAAAGAAGGAGACTTAAAAAAAGGCCACTTCTTTTTAGCCATGCTGATTAAATTAGTGTGTGTTTACCCACTTGGTTATTCTGTTCAGTTCACCTACCTGTTATCCATGATCAATAGCAGGGAAAAATCACTTACTTGCCTCTGTAGCTTTAATCAAGGCACAGATATCAGCTTTCACTGCTCAGTTGGGTATAGAGCAGCAGCTTGTATACAGTGTGAACATGAAAATGGAACAGGTGCGTTATTTGTGATGATGCTGGTGTGTATTTCCAACCTCAGAGCATCCGTCCTGCTATGCAAGGTCATTTTCTATGTTCAATCCCCAAATAATCCGTTTTTGTGAAACAATGCAGATACTACAATAGTGAGAGGTTGTAGTCCTTAGAACAGCATTTTACCCCTTTTTATTCTTGGCTCTTGGTTAGTCTAAAAGAAATTTAATTAAATTAAAAAAAGGTGTGCTGATGATTTACAGTGCTGGGCAAATTACTTGACACACATTACGTATTATTTACTAGTTGTTTATTATCTATTTAAAATCTTTAAAAGACATTTAAGAAAATTTTCTCATATGCTTTCTTTCAGGGAAAGATAAGAGGATGGATAACACTTTGTCTTCTCTGTGTTGATTATGAAGTTAGAGCAGGGAGTTGATTAGCTTAGTATAGCTTAGCATGGATAGGAGGCAGGGGGGACTAGCTAGCGTGTTTCTTGCTAAAGTTTAAAAATATGTCTAGCAGCACCTCTAAAGCTAGTACGAGCAATGAGGAGTTACAGTATCTAGTTTATCTAATTAAGGTTTAAGTACACAAACCATAATGTAAAAACTAGTTGTTTTATGGGGAGTTAAGTGCTGGTGATTTCTCTCCGCGCCCATAATAAACAAAGAAACATATTTCCCTAAATGTTGAAGTATTCCTTAATTATTACAGCAAAAGTAGGTTAATTACTTGTCACTTGAGCTTTGGCAAACTTTACTTTCAACAAACTCCAAACCCACAAGTTCTGTATATGTAGAAATAATAAATGTTTTGTAACTTAGTTAGGCTTTTACTCCCTGGCCTTCCTTGTTCACAAACCGCGCGTACTCCTGCCCTCATCATAGCATATTTTCTGTGTTGTGTGCCCCTGAATATGAAGTTATTGCTCTTTCCATTCATCATGTTATATTAGGAATTATTGGGGGGGGCTATGGTCCAATTGTGTTTTTCTGTATTATTGTCTTTTTAGTTTATCGCAATGTCTTTTTGTTTGTATTTGTTGAGTCATCCACCAATGCCGTTCTTTCTGTTATTATTGTCTTTTTAGGTTCCTACTGTACAGCCACTGTTGCGTCAGTTCTGATTCTGTTGTTAAATGTGCTTTATAAATTAAATGTACTTACTTACTTGCTAGGCTATTTACTGACCCTCAACAGCTAGCTTAGCCCTGATGCCACAGAGCACTCCAGAAGTCCTGAGCTGAATGTAGCCTTGCCAGTGGCTAGCTAGCAAAGCAAGAACACATAAACCTGATTCATTTTGAATAATCAGAAAGAGGATCTCTTTTTGTTTGTCAAGAGTTTGTTGTCTTCCCCGCCCCTAAGTCAAGCTAATGCATCCTAGACACACCTAGCTCCCAGGATGAGCGCCGGGCTTTGAAGCCAATTTGACATAGTGGCCAAACCATGCAATGACAGCAATGATGACGTCACATGATGCACACTGACCCCTAAAGACTTTTTTTCCCCATAAGCTTGTAAAAGAGTCAGTTGTAAAACTCTGATCCATTCAGTCCACAATCATTTGGAAAGAGCCACACGATTAAATCATTTTATCCGCATTCAAGTTCGTTGACGGCTACAGGATGTGGTCTCCTCAGAAAACCTGGGTACTTTGTCAAACTTTTTTGACCTCATGCGGCACTGAGCAGCTTCCATAGGAAGGAACGTGGCCATGCATCCAATGCTGCTTAGAGGTCTTCCGTAATGCAGCCGTGGAACACCCTGATCCCAGCAGTGCTCAGAAGTAATAGAACATTACTGGGATCAGTAACGGCAGTATAACTATAGAATATTATACTGTTAATACTGTTATCCCTTACATTACTTGTTACTGGAAGAATGTTAGCATTTTAACATGTTACTCAGTAGCCTAATGTATTACTGCCCAATTTTAATGATTAATAGCAAATAAAAAAATGAAGCAGGGCAGCGCTTTTGGAAGTAATGAGCTCAATTTCTTCAAGACTAATACCAGTGGAACATGTAGTTGCACTGAATCTCTTCAAACACAACTTCTTCCAGTGTTATCACCCATTTGTTTCTCACAGGTACAATGTGGACTCCAGAAGCTGTAACATTTCCAAACACGTAAGTACAGTATGTCGAACTCAAATGACAGTTTTGACTCAGCGCTGACAACTTCCATCAGCCCTCAAATGTATCACATTGTATTCAGCATTACTCATACTGTTAAAGCTAATTTACAGTGAATGAGTGAGGAATGATGATGATTCAGCAAGAATAAAGTCTATTATTTAGTCTACTATTGTATTTAGGGTACTGTAAATCCAGCTTGTGATAAAACTCTTCTTTTCTTCTTAACAAACCAACTCATGTGGGAGAGCAGAAGGTGAGTGCTGTATATGCAGACTGTATTATCCACATGAGTCTTGCTATTATAGGATCCTTCATTCATTTCACCTTTTATTTTCCAATATATTTCAGTGTCCTCAGAGGAGACCTATGTGATTTCTTTTTTTTTTTTTTTTGCGTTTCATTCACTTTATTTTTATTGTATTTTTCTCCTACTCTTTTATCTCATCTCATCAAGGAGAGACACCAGCATCTCCGGTCAGGAAAGCTTCCCCCGTAGTGTTGTCCATCATTTTTTCTGTCTGCATTTTATCATTCGCTCAGGTAAAGCAACTTTCAGAACTCGACTTCAAAGTGATAGCAGCTGTTGTTGTTTGAGACAGTGTACTACAACAGATTGTGGATGTCAGGACATTTACAGGAGCTACACACATTCAGTTTGTGGGACTCACACCTACACCTGCTCCCGCCCACACATGACAAACATCAACACATAGCGCTCTGCCCTTGTTGCTGTGTAGTTTGATTGTGTTGTGTCATCTCTCTGCTTTTTAATGTTGCCATATGTTTCTCCCTGTAGTTTGTGGGCTGGTTGTAAACTTCAAAATCTGTTCTTCAGTGAAAATGCTGATTGAAGGGGAACACACTTTTCTACAATGAGGACATTTGCCTTATGCACAGTGTGGTCTTTTTAAGAATAATCAATTGGTCAACAAGCACTCCACTAGGACTTCCTGGGCTTGACCTAGCTGGGTCCATGCTCATATAAAAGGTGGAATTAAACCCTAAATTTAGTTGAATTTCATTTAAAATGACACTTCAATAACATGAAATTACACTTTAATGGGACTTTAATAACTTCAGTATCTCTATTACTATCCCTGTTGATTTTATAGTCTTTCATAATTCCTATTGAGCCTATTAAGTGTTTATTGTCCAGAAATGTGTAGAGTAATGAGTTTAGTCTTCATATATTTTAATGGGCTGGCTCCCCTGATGCTAACTCATAAACTCATATGTTCAAAAAATTTAAGAGCCCTTCAAATAAATTGGAATCTGTCACCACTGAGCACACTGCAGTGTCTTGGAGGTGTATAAAATTAATATTGCACCATGGCTGCAACAAGCAGGGAATTATTAATGGCTGCGTTCACATTTTTTATATGTTGTCTTAAAACAATAGGGGGTGTCCATACAAAATTCACAATGTCCAAAACACTATTCTTCTACTTCTATTCATTCACTCGTTCATTTTGCCACTCATGACTGTGATCATGTGGTATGCAGCACACAAGAAAATACAGTAATAACAAAATTATAGCAAACTTCACTGGCACTGGAATAGTGGGGACAACAAGACTTCCATCCATTGGCATCCATTGTTACCTACCACGTCATGCTAGCTTGTCGGGAAGAGAGCTAAATAACGCTCCAGATTGCCAAAATCTTGGCAATGCAAAAACTCCAAAGGGGTCCTTTGACCTTTGACCTCAACATATGTGAAAATGGGTTCTACGGGTACCCATGAGTCCCTCCTTTACAGACATGCCCACTTTATGCTAATCCCATGCAGTTTCTTATAAATAAACAGCACTGGAATCACATAAATTGGCTGGAGAGCTGAGACTTGAGCTGAGAAATGTTACTTAATCAATGGAAGGACATTCTTTAAAAGTTAAGCTAAAGTTAATATGTTGTTTCAGACGGTATCTTCATACATTATGTTCTTTTTTGTATAATCTTCCCTCTTTGTGTTACTGTTCCTCTGCCATAATTCTGACTCTGTCCAGGGATCCAAAAAGAGGTAATTTGGTACTAAAAAGACTGATCTAACACAGACTGCTGAAACATCATATTAGCTTCAGATAAACATCAGAATGAAGTTTTGTATGGAAGGATGGTGGGCTGTCCCTCATCACTTACGTTAGAAAAACATTAGAAAGGATAAGAGCCATTATGAAAGAGAGGACAGATTACAGCAAGCCTAAACAGTTTCAATGTACATAATGGGCATGTGAGTATTGTTTTATGACACACTTTAAAAATTGTGACTATCCTTTAAGTTCTCTGCAGGTCATATTTACGGTACTTTTCTGTTGTTTAGAGTCTGGACCCGTCTCTTGGCCCTGTCATGCAATTAATTATTTCGTTTCTATCGTTTTTCCCCCAAAGGACTTTCTGGGCCAGACCTTTTGTACCCTTGGAGAAATCATCGGCTCCACAGGCGGTCGGCTGGAGAAGACCCTCTCGTGAGTCCTGTCTATTGTATCAATGAGAAATTGCTTTTTTTGCTCAGGTGTTCATGATAGCAATTATGCACAAAAAAAATTCTCCCACTATCTCTTGTTCCATATTAATTGATGGCTGGAGTGAAACAGGAAAACAACACTATATGAGCCATCTCTCTAATGCAATCTGTACAGACTCAGCAAGTTTAAATAGCCTCGTCTATTATATTGGTAGCTTAATGTGTGAGAGGACACATAAACCTGTTGGATCATTGCACACTGAGCTGTTGTCGTTGAAGTACTATTGAGGGTTTTTTATATGTTGCATAAAAGCCACTGAAGCCCGCAAGAGTATTTTGTTGCAAAGGAAGTCAGTATAACTCTGGATATTGACAGATACAGAATCCGCTCATAAATTATGCTTGGTTATATGTGGTTGGTAGAAATCAATGGGATTTTATTCCCATCGTAAAAGAGCATTCAATGCAAACACAAAACCCTACTTTTCTTGCATCTCTTCAGTGTTAGATAACACACTATATTATGTGGTGTGAAAGGAATGCCGGGAGACAGAGAGAGATATGAAGTCAGAGAATTCACGGGCCAGATTTGAACCCATTTTATTGCAAAGACAGGGTATCCCCCCATCTCTGCATAAAAACTGTGGAGCTCAACATACAGCGTGCAGGGAAACAGGTCTTCACATTGTAGAGCAGCGTATGCATCAGAAGCTTTATAATATCAGCTATACAAGCATAACTGCTGCACAACAGCACATTTTACTGCATGAGTGAGAAAAAACATGATTTGATTTGAAATTTGTGGCTACGTTAGCAAGTGGAGAGGAATTTCAATAATAATAATAAAGTGAACATTGAAATGATCAGTTACAGTGAAGTATATGTTATGACTTCATGACCTTAATGACAAACAGTTATCTATTTGCTCATATTGTATATTGAAGAGTGCATGAGCAAGAGATTGAAGATTAAATTCTCTGAACACTGAGGCAAAAATAATCTAATGGGCTAAGTAAGAATTTTCAGCGAGAGGGACATGAGGAGGTAGATGACATTTTGCGAGGCTTTGTTTGTGAGTTGCTCCTCACTGACTGGCTAGCGTGCTTGTCTGTTTACCCTTACAGTTTCAGCTGCAGCTCTGCCTTCCTCTGAAGTGTTCCAGGTGGTGTTGAGATATGCGCCGCCAGGTGGTCACCACCACCTGTGACACTTACAAAGAGAGTTAAAGCTGAATCTCTCACGACAATCAAACAAATGAGCTACAAAGTATCTAAGACAGACCAGCTAGCTTTTTTTTTGCTTGATAGTTTCGTATGAAACTTACGAAATTTCGGAAATTTAAGGAAGAAAAGCGTTTCCTAGAATTCAAGGTATCGATTCAGTGTCTTGTTTTATCGAACAGTCAAAAACCAAAAGATATTCAGTTTACAATGACAATTATTACAATGATTCAGAAAGTACACACATTTTGGAAGCTGGCACCAGCAAATATTTTTCATTTTTGCTTGACTGAAAACATTTAATCATTCAATCACACATGGGTACCAATTAATCTTGTATTGAGTCCCCATTCGTTAGTGAAAACTGTTACAGCTCTACCCTCTTAAAACTGCACTAAAAGCTGTTAAAATGATTTCTTAGCATTTTAGCTTGACCCACCAGCTTACTAGCCATGCTACCTTATACCCAGAGGAAAGCTCTGAATCGTAAATATCCTGGTCACAAACAAAAACTTAAACATAGCTAGGAGAGTTCAGCTACCATTGCTAGCAAGCTAAATGTTAACATAAGCATGCTAACACGCTTATAATGAGAATGCCAACATGCTGGTGTTAAGCAAGTTCAGTATTTATATTTTTTATTTTTTTATGTCCACAATCTTAGGCTGTGTCTCATTCCGCCTAC